GGAGCAGTAAAACCCAGACGGTATACTGCTGAGAAGGGTCAGATACCTCTTGGTGGCCGTCCACTGTCACCACAGACCACCAGGTAAACAGCCATCAGCTTGCCAGCAGGCGGGCCCAAGAGATAGCAGGAAAAGGTCAGAGACATCTTGACAGGAGGAGGAAGTGTCAAAGATCAGCTGGAGGTGGAGGGGTCATCTCATAGGGGTCCGGAAAGTGGCCTAAGAGAACAGCCAACAAGTACCGCAGCGTTAACAGAGCCCAGGGTGGAGACAGGCTCGCTTCTGCACGTGCCATGCCAGCAGATCCTGCTGCGGCTGGAGGAGAAGCGCCTCCTCGGGCAGGAGCTCTCGACTCACAGCAACAGGAGAGAAGGCTGCCGTGGCAGGACATGCACTTCCTCCCAGCTCTATGGCCCAGCCTGGGTCTGCCCCACAATGATGACTCAACACAAGCTGCTGCTTCCACATCCAGCAGCATCTTGCAGACGGTGAGTCCGCAGCCATTGCTCTCTTGGCGGGACCTGTAGAGCATTAACGATAACTACCATCCACTAGATCCTCGCCTTGATTCCAGCACTTCTGCTGCTTCCACATCCAGCAGCATCTTGCAGACGGTGAGTCCGCAGCCATTGCTCTCTTGGCAGGACCTGTAGAGCATTAACGATAACTACCATCCACTAGATCCTCGCCTTGATTCCAGCACTTCGCTCACTTCTGTACACGCTCCGCCCTGCCCACTGCAGCACGAATCCAAAAGGGGTCTGTCACTGTCCCCAACTCAGAGACAAGGAAATGGAGTTTAAAGAAGCCCAGGGATGAAACCAGACGTGGACCCACACCTGGCATCTGTCTCCAAGACCCTGCTCTCTGTTGTAGTCTCACAAGGGCTGGCTTTTTAAGATCACTGGTTTCACTTAACTGCCTTCCTTCCTAGACTTCCCAGGTAACCTGGACATACATGTAGGAACATCACCATAGGTGCACAAGCAGTGCCTTCCCCTCTCTCAGACTCTTCCCACTGGTTTGCAGAACTCTACTCTGCTTTGTGATGACGCGGGGCAGCCTGGGCGTGCAGCACAGTGGAACCACCAAGTGTCAGAGCCAACCAAGGGGATGCTGGTGCCTTAAACAGTGGAGCCTGATGAGCAAGAGCAGAGAGTAGAATAACTGTCACTGAAGGCTGGGAAGGGGCTGGGGGGAGGGAAGAGGTGGATTAATGGCTACAAAGTTACAGGTAGATAAGAAGAATGAGTTCTGGTGTTCCAGGCTCACTATAGGTAATAACAATATATCATATATTTCTAAACAGCTAGAAAAGAGGATCTTGACCGTAATCACCACACACACACACACACACACACACACACACACACACACACGATAAATTTTTAGGTGCTGGATATGTCCTAAGTGAACATTGTGCAGTATATGCATGTATTGAAACGATACATTGTACCCCCCAAAAATGTACAATTAAAAGTAAGCCCTTTTTTGTTTTAAATTTAAAAAAAGGATACATTGAACAAAACCTCTTCTATTGTAATGCAGATAAAGGTCTGGAAGCCAAAGGAGAAAACACCAAAGAAAAAGCAAGCAACCACATCTCAGTGGGAGGTTGACAACAGCTGAAGGTCTCCACATGCCCCAGGTACCTGTGCAGGTAGTTCACATTATTATTTAAGGCTGCCTGATCAAACCTTCTGCAATGACCAACGCCATCTACGTGGACTTGTCTGCATTCTGAGAGTTCCAAGACACTGGTGAGAAGTGGCCAGGATGCCCCTTGGTCAAGTGGGCACAAGACACATGGGTCTTCCCACCCGTTTTCCTCACATCTGTCTCACCCAAACCTGGTATTTTCTCCTGGATGTTCACTGCAGCCTAGTTACATCTGCTAGCCTCCTAGACACACTCTCAACACCAACTTGCTTTGTTCAGGAAGTTTAAGACACACTTAAATCTTTATCACCACTCTCAACACACACACACACAGCGGTTCTACGGTCCATTGTTTGGGGGCAGAAGCATCTGCCTACGGGTGACGTTCTCAGCACATTCTGCTTACCCTGCAGTGCGGACGTCGCCCAGCCAGCCACCAGGGGGCGGTATACAGCAACAGGCACCACAGCTTCATCAATAACGAAATCGTTATCAGTACTTTGGCACGTGGTTGCAATCACAATGCAGCGCTCCTGTGTGCGTATGTGTATGGGCCTATTTGTTAACTGGGCTGTGACATCTTTAGCTGCTGTGGACTGAGTTAGATGGTGTAGTCAATGGGGGCTGGCAGATTTAACAGAGTTACATATGAGAAAAAATCACGCCTTCATTTTTTAAAAGGAAAAATTCTGTTACCAAACAACCTTAATAATAGACTCAATGTAAAATAATATTTTTTCCAAACCAATGTGCTACTATGCTTTATCTTACACAATGCTGTTTAAGCACAGAAAAGTAAAAAGAAAAAAAAAATCACACTTACTTTTTTAAAAGAAAACACCTTTCAGGTTCTTAATTTTCCCTATTTCATAAAGACTTAGAACTACAGATTCTTTAGAGAAATGTGGTAGAGTGGAAAGATGGGTTCTGATGCCTACCCAGCCTCCTACCCTGTAAGTTATCTTCTCCAAGGAATTAGACCTCTGCAGGTTCTGCTACATCATCAACAATATTATGTTAACAATATCCCTTTCAACCTCCTTACAGGGAGGACCAGACTGGAGATGGAGACAGAGACAGAGACACACACATAACTACTTTAAAAAATTACAACTTGTATGTTAGTCACTATTACTTTTTTGAAACTGTAAGAACAAACTAAACGTGGTTTTAACCTCTGTTCCACACAATGTGGGTCAATATCTTTCAGTATCTCTACTTTCTGTTGCACGTGCTACCTGCCTTGCCCCCCTTAGTAGAGCACAGTGCACATCCCTGTCTGGTGTCCCTGGGCTTCCTCTTGGGCCCTGCAGTTTAAGTGCGACCACCTTCGGGTCACATCCATCAGGATGGTAGACACATCAGGATAACCCACAGGCTGCTTTTTTCCTGGTGCTTTCCTACCAAATGCCCTTAATGGGCTCTTCTGCATTCTGTGCTTTTAAGTGTTTACCGTCCTAAGGTATGCAGTGTTGAAAATTTTAAAACACAGTTCACAAACACTTGGGCTTCTTGTTTCTGTTTTGTTCTGTTTTTGTCCTAGAGGCATATTATTAAGGTAAATTACATTTACAAGGTTAAAATGTTTTTCTTAAAGTTGACTTCTAATCCTGGAAGAAAAAAGTGTCACTATACTATTTTATATATACAAAATACATTAAGTCTTTATATTAAAGTGCTGCTGTCTTATCTAAGGACAGGGAGAAAAGCACTCAGTATTTACAAAAGTACACACTCTGCATATGTATCTGCAGTGGTGCCGTACTTTAAACTGCATAATCTTACAAGCTGCTCACAAAGTTATATGCTAAAAGCATGTGTATTTCAAGAGTCCTACACTATACATTTTAAGTATATGTATTCAATACTTTGTGTATATTGGCTGTTTTTCCTTCAGGAGCAATATACCTAAATTAATATTACATTTTTAGTCACTGAGTGCAGAATTTGTGATTAGTTTTAAACAAAATAAATACAGCTGATCCTTGAATAACCTGGGTTTGAATTGCGCGGATCCACTTATACACAGATTTTTTTCAGCAGATACAGATGGCCCTCTGAATATGCGGGCAGGTTCCACATCTTTTGGACAGAAACATGAGGAATGCAGAACCCATGTATCATGGAGGGCCAATATTTCATACCCATGGGCTCTGCAGGGCCACTGCAAAACTTGAGCATCTGTGGACTTTGGTATCTGTGGGGTTCCTGGAACCAATCACCCTCGGATACTGAGGGATGACTATATTTAAACTTAAACTGCTGACTTAATGACTTAAAAAAAAAAAGTTAAACTTTGCAAACTGAATTTGTTGAACCTTATGTAAGCTAAAAGATTAGTTTTTAAATTTTTTGTGTGTGGGTTTGTGTATGTTTCCCTTGAGAATAGAAGTCTCCACTCATTATACCCAGAAGCAACAGACACCTGTGCAGGGGTTTCAACCAAACGTTAAGACAAACGCAAAATTAATCTTCACCATAAGCCGCAGACTGCACCACACCATGGCCTGTAGTTCACACTTTATACTATGCCTTTCCCACCTTAACATGAAAGTCATTACATATAACCACCAAGGAAATGAAAAGCTGAAAATGACCACCACCTGCAACGTCAGCATTCATGCAAATATTTACATTATTCATCACAGGAAACCAAACACAAAAAACCCACATTGACTCTTGATATAACCACAGATTCATTTCCATGATAATTTTAAAAGTCTAGTTAAGTAAAAGGACTTAATTGGAACTTTCAAGAAAGACAAAATTTTATACAAAAAGGCATCTGCATCTGCAAACACTGATCATGAAGACAGGACTTCACTGTCCCTCTAGCCTGTCCCAGAAGCTGCAGCTGAGTGGTACACCACGTAGATCCTGAAAGCAGAAAAATAAGTGTCTGAAAAGCACACAACCTCAGAAATACACGAATTCGGATGTAGGATACACAGAAACCTTAAATTTCAAAACACTTAATAAGAAAACATAAAAATGAGCCAGTTCCCCAGGAACGCCTGTTTTCTGCCTACAGGCAGGTGTAACATGAATATTAGCTACACCAGAGTGGACAGGAGGTTCTAACCATCTCAGTCACTGAGAGATGATATTTGATTCCCACCATAGAAACCTGCCAACCCTAATGAACTACACGGTTTCCTTCAACATTCTAACCAGGAGAGTATATTGACAGAAAGCTTATGGCAACTCCCTTTCCTAAGATTCATCTCACCCTATGTGCTTACTAAACCTGAGTTTTCATTCAATGTGGCATTTGTCTAAGGTGTGGCAAACCCCGCCCCCCCCACTAGCCCAGCTAAACTGAACAGAGCAAATGCTCCCACCGAGATGGCACTCAGCAATCACCACGGTGTCAGCCACACTGACGCAGTGCTCTTTGTGTCAGGAATAGTTCTGAGCATCTTTCCTGTCTTTATCCAGTGACTCTGTACAGCATCCCCATGGGGTAGCTCTGTCCACGCCCACCAGAGAGTTCTGAAGTTCCCAGCAGTTGTCCTCGTCCCTGAAGACAGTGGCTCACTCGTAGGGACCCCGAGAGCCAGGGGTTGCCTCGAGGCATCCCTTCAGCCGGCATCCTCCTGGCTCCGTAACACCAGACCTCACTTCTCTGTTGCCGGCGTTTTCTTTTTATCTCATCACTCCTGGGATGGATGGTTCTCCTGCACTTGGCCCCGGCCCCTTGCTCCAAGCAGCTGGCATCTGGGCTCCGAGGACGCCCACATAATAAATGCTAACACTCCTCACGTACACAGATGATAATCTATTCCGCTGGACCCAATACTTAGGAGTCTAAATATCAGGATTTTAGACTGCTGAGCTTGTGTGGGAGTATTTCTTCCGATTGTGGAAGTGCAAGAGACAAGATTCTAAGTGCTCGTGATGACCTCATTTCTGTAGCTAAGCAACCACAGTGGCAGCAAAAACCAAGATGGGGTTTTTCAATGTCTTCTTTTTATACAAATGAAATACAATTTAATTTTTTTACATACACGTTCTCACCAGTTTCCACATGGTGAACATGCAAATGCCAATTTTCAAAGAAACAAGTTGTTCCATACTTTTACCATTTAGCATTATCACTATTAAGCAAGAATTATCCCAAAAGTTACAAAATAATCTTTTTTCTCATATTCACAAATTGGTAGTCACATAGTGAAATATCATTTAATGGAAGGGAATATTTTATTTCAGGTTTCTGATCTGAAAAAAAATTATTTCTGGCAAAGAGATAAACATTAATTATGTAACTATGCAAAATGACTCAGGAAGAATTAACTAAAATGTAATCCATTAGTTCATAAAGTGTTATAAAGGCAGCTGAGTTTTAACAGTAATTTTCCCATAATCAAAATTATCACAAAATATTTTAATATCTTAATATTGAAAGAATAACCACAAATGGATATAAAATGCAAAACAGACAAGTTAACATTTGGGATAGTTTTGGCTGATATTTTTAACATATGCGTAGTTACTATTTACTCAGCTGAAGTATATCCCTCTCCTCCTATGTACTCCAAGACTGGCTTTTAAACACAGCCTGATTTGGGGTGAAAGAAGCTTTAAAAGATGTCAGGATATCTAAAAATAAGAGCTTAGCCCTCAAAGCCACAAGCATTCTCCCAGGAATCACACTGCAACAGTTACCATCAGATTTCAACATAATAGGTAACATTTCACTCTTCTCTATACGTCATGGTAAACACTAGCCATCAATAAAAAAAAAAAAAACTCCTAGAATCTACTGACACTGGACTAACACAAAATTAATGGGCCACCTATGTAGTTTTTAGCTGTAAAAGCTGTGACCTTAAGAATATGTTTATGCTCAGAATCAGATTCCTTGACTTGGGGGTGGGGAGAGGCACAGGAGACAGCTACCCAGTGCAATGGTTTCCACCTCTAAGGTCAAAAGGAAACTGGGTGGTTGTCCTGAGAACACTGGTAGCATGGGGTCTATTTCCCTCTGTTCTCTCTGGCCTGCCTGTTACTGGGATGGGCGCCCCACCCCATCCTCCAGGGAGGCTTGACGGAGCTGACCAGTGCAAGACAGGGACTCAGGGAAATCTCCCAAGCTCAATGGCCTCCACAGACCTGCTTTCCTTGGATCATTTATTCTCACCCATTCAGCCACAAGCCAGTAGTTTGGGAGATGGGAAACATGGGCATCAGTACTGGGTCTGTCACTGTGTAACTTTGGATCAGTTCACTTTCTGTGCCTGGCCTCAGCATGCACATCTGTCAAATGGGTGGTCCGGATCCCTCAGTGGTTTTCAGCTGGTGTTCCAAGGAGGACAGTCCGAGCAGGTGGACAGGCCAGGGAGGAGGACAGGCCCAGGAGGGCCAAGTTTCTGCAGAGGTGTCTCAGAGAGTCCAGCAGAGGTAGGCAAGTCGGGCTCTAAGTTCTCTGTTCCCATTTTATATTTTATTTAAAAATATATTTGTAGGCTTTTTAAAAGATTTAACTTAAAGCAGGAGGGAGTCAGGGATAGCTTACTTTTAATAAACAAATTTTTAAACACAGCATTCTATTTCTTGCATGTAGAAGTGCCAGGCGTAACTCACTCAATTACTGTCCCTTATTCCTATTTGAAATCAGCTGCACATCCCCAAACCACAAATCATGCTTCAGCTTAAAGCACATTTTCAAGGATCTCGTGATGTTGCAGTGAACGGGGCCGCAGCCTCACGACAAGCAAGTGCATGGGGAAGAGCAACCACGGGAACAGGTACGCTGCGAGCAACGTTTAGGAGCACTGGGCCTGGGCACCCTGCACGCCTCTCTGTACCTGTTCTGCCACATCTGTCAGGATGCCACTAGCAGTTTGGTTAAACAAGGAACTCAAGCTTATCCATTTACTAAGAGAATATGAAGCAAACTCGAATTTGAAGTTAATACAAATTATACTGAATCAGCAACTCAATGGGAGAGAAATACAAGAAACAGAAGAAGCAGGTGTACTTGGGATGGGCAATTTCTCCAGCAGGGTGATCTGACTGTGACTTCACGGTTTTTTGGCAACTAAGACAAAAAAGGGAACAAGCCACAATTATTTTCTGCCAAGGGAAAGTATCCCCACTGGCCTCCAGAGACAGACTTTCTCCCAGAAGTGAGCTCAGGCAGCACCACAGGTCTTTGAATCGGTAGGTTACAGCATCTGCAAGGCCCTCCCCATAATTTGGAAGCCGTATTTACCTCCCACACTTAAGAATCTGGGAGCTCCCCAACGATGATGATCCCAAGGCATGAGCCTGCCCCTGACCAGACCTGGACCTCAGGTGACCTCATGGCACAGCTCCAGCGTCCTGCATCCAAAGGAGGGCACAGATGTCAGCTCTGTGCAGACCCTAACCCTCAAGCAGAGCTCCATGGAGACTGCCTTTCCCAGGTCTGGGTCTTCCACCACTGTAGAAAGAGAGTTGTCCAGAATACCTCACTGGATGCTTGCTGGAAATAATTCACTACCATCAGAGGCTTTTCCTCCTCTTGGGGATTTTAAAAGAAGAACACGGAAGTTCGGGTCTGGCAGGGGGGTCGAATGTTGCGGGTGGCGGATCCCATGGGAACATGCTTAGCCGGGCTCTGCCAATGCCTCCATCCGCATCTGCTGGCTCATACGTCCCTGCCGAGCCTGTTTCTTCCTCCCTGGGAGCACTCTTCCCTCCTCTCCATCTGTGTACTGGATTCACCAAATCTAATCTTACCATCCACACAAATATACCACTAATTTACCCACCACCAGGAGGAAACCATGCTGCCAATTAAATGACGACACCCCAAATGATGTATACATGAGGGGAAAAACAGACAGAGGGGAGGGGGCGAGGGCAGTCATGGAATCTGCAAACATTTTTACTGGGAAGGCTCCTTCCCGTCCCCACCAGCCACCCCCCACCTGGTCCAGAAGCCCCACGGCGCATCTTCCACCTCAGCCCCAGAGCCTAAGAAGAGCAGATGTCAGAAGAAGAGCTGCTGGTGCTGATGACAGAAATGACTCCTTGTTATACGCAGACTATGAGGAGAAAACAGTCACAGGAGGATGCGGATGTCAGCTAAGTGAATCTTGAACAATCACGCAAACGCCATTCTCCCTTTTCCATCAGAGTCAGTAGAAGAGCAGATGTCAGAAGAAGAGCTGCTGGTGCTGATGACAGAAATGACTCCTTGTTATATGCAGACTATGAGGAGAAAACAGTCACAGGAGGATGCGGATGTCAGCTAAGTGAATCTTGAACAATCACGTAAACGCCATTCTCCCTTTTCCATCAGAGTCAGTACAAAATCACTTCTCCAAACACACTCGCCACCAGCAGTGACACGGCCCTTCCTGTGATTGACAGCTCACAGACACACCCACCTTGCCCTGAATTGATCTCAAGGCACCTGATTTGTACTAATATGAACAGTCGCTCTGTGAAAAATCATAGCCACACTCACCCAGTGCTTTCTTTTTTTTTTTTCCTTTTGTTGTCTTTTTACTGACCGGTAACGGGATCGCAACCCTCGGTGTCGCGCCCGTACTGGGGACCAGCAACGGGATCACAACCCTCGGTGTTGCGCCTGCACCGCACTCAGCCAGTGAGCAGGAACCTGTCTCCACATGGGATCCGAACCCTCGGTGGGAGTGCCGCCGCGCTCCCAAGCGGTGCACTCTCCAGTGCGCCACCGGGCCGGCCCTCACTGAGTGCTTTCTAACAAGCAAGTGTGTCCTCCACCTCTCAGGTCCCATCTACGAGTCAGGAGGAAACCTAGAACCTTCTTCAGTGGTTTTACTGAAAAGAAATAAATATTCTAACTTGGTGGGATCATGCTATTCCTACACTTCCACACAAAATACAACACTTTGAATACAACACTGACACACCACAAGGGCTTCACTCGGCCTGGTCTGGTTGGGTGGGTGGGGGTTGAGGGAACCTTAGGTATAAAGAAGAGTGCCAACACTGACCTTTCTATCTGACTTCTGAACGATACGAAGGCTCAAAGTCCAGGGTCACATGTGGACACCACGTGGTCACAGGTGGGCTGTGACGCTGGCGGGTCTGCCCCACTGTGGACAGTCTGGCTGACTATGCTCAAGTCTGTTCCAAGCCCCTCTTTGCCTGACACTCTGCACAGGAAGTCAAGGGTGTCAGAGTATCTGGTAGACATGTCTGTCAAGACAGCACTCCCACTCAGCACGGAAGCCCCGTGTTCTGACCTGCAGGCAGCTCCACCCAGCCCTGAACAGGAGTGCAGGTTTGCAGCAGGGCCATGCCAGGTGTCCAGGGCGACCTCTCACTCATGTCCAGAAGTAGACTCTGTCCCTGGAGGAACTGTTATGGGCTGAATGTCTGTGCACCCTCCATCCAAATTAATATGTTGAAATCCTCACCCCCAGTGAGATGGTGTTAGGAGGTGGGGCCTTCGGGAAGTGAGCATCTTACCCCTTCCTCTATGAGGGCACCGAGAAGCTGGATGCCTACACCGGGAAGAGAGCCCAGCCGTGTGGGCATGCCGATCTCAGACTGACAGC